TGCTGGGGACCGCCAGGTGGGCCGGCCCCAAACCCCGCCCCGCCCTGGTTGGGCCCCACAAACCCCTGCTGCCCCTGGTCCCCCGCCGGCTGCCCCTGGTTGCCCTGTAAAGAGCCAATGAGGCCCCAACCCGCCTGGTTGAGAGCTGCCGCCATAAGAGCTGTATTCATAGGCATGGCGCCCAAATTGAGCGCCCCCATCCCTAAAGGGTTGTTCATATTCTGTCCTTGTCCTTGCGCTCCCTGGCCTCCCTGACCAGTGATGCCCAACGCCTGCAGATTGGGCATATCAATCGAGCCTCGGTTATGGCCACCCTGGTTCCAGCCGCCGGGTCCCATATTGCCGCCCCCATGGCCATGGCCGTGACCGTGATGGTGCTGTTGGTAGTGATTGCCTCCCATCGGCCTGCCCATGTTGTGGTCGCGACCTCCGCCGCCACCACGATTGCCGCCGTAAGAGCGACCGCCGTTGAGCTCGCTCTTGGGTGCGGCCTCGGACACATGCACTGAGATACCCTTGATGATGTGGTCCTCGCCGCACAGACCCATTGCAATCTCCGGGTCGAGGAAAGTGACAAATGCAAATGCCCGGAACGGCTTGGGGATGAAAACGTCCGTCACCTCACCAAACTTGGAGAAATACTCACGCAAATCATCTTGCTGGAGATCCTCTGTGCACCGGCCCACAAATACCTTGCATGGCACCTGCATCATCTGGCCGTCCTGGAAAAGGTCAATAATATCCTCTATGTAGAGCCAGCACAGCTTGAGCTGATATAACTGAGCAGCACTTTCAGCCCCTCTTTCAGTAGAAACACTCATGCATTTAACTGAGCTACTATGTACTTGCCCAGAGTACAGTACAGGGAAATACATGAACACAGCAATTACTAGAGGGTAAACCATTTATGGAAAAACAATAAAATTACAATTCCAAACATAATTTTGACATACAGATATTCAAACTCATAGATATCTGTTAGAGATAAGCTTATTTTGAATAGGAATTTCTTTAACTTTGATAAATTCATCAAGATATAATACTGGAATATACACATGCACAGATTGATGCCGTCATGCAAAAACACATTCCTTTCCCAATCAACTCACTATCAAAAAGAAAAAAATGATTGATGAAAGTCTAGAATTGATGATGATTCAAAGGGTGCTCAGAAACGGATAATTCTTGACAGTATGTCTGTCAAAAGTTTAAGTGCAACTTCACTACTTTCATTTGTAAATTATAACAATTAACCTCAGATACAATACATACTACTTGTCAGTAGTTTAGGCTCATAGATTTGCATATGGGTATGGTATTAAGAGCAAGAGTAAGTATTGAATTAAGTTTACAAAATAGCCTGCACAGCAAGAAACACTCACAAAAGGAAACAATCCCCAAAACAATTGCAAGCAAAACTAATATAGTCCTCCAAGCTGCCATAGGTACTGAACATCTACAGACTAATTTAGGTAGATGTTAGATGGAGGCAGAAAAAAAAAGAATGTCATCAAGAGACAGCAGGGAATACATGAAAGTGAACAAAAAAAAAAGTACACAACACAAAATTAATACACATGTCAGCTTAACAATTAAACATCTCAGAATGTGCTTGTAAGTAATTTTTGGTACTCTAAAATTACTCTCAGTAATTATGTTTAAGATGATAATGAGTTTGGTGGATTTGTAGAACACTGAATGATGGATGACCAATGATGATTTAGAGATAAATGACATTAAAAATGAAAATTCAACAAAAGTACACCCATGTTTTACCAGAATTAATTCCTAGAAACAGAAAAACACACAACCCAAGTTTATGCAAAGAAAGCAGAACTGACCCATGGTGGAAAATGATAAAAGTGGTAAAATTTAATAAGCTGGTTAATCAACAGGTTAATTGAAACAAGAATAAATTCTATAGTAAACCTTCTCTCCAAAACAACAAAATTTGCATCTAAGTTCCACAACACCTCACCAAACTGCTGACCACCTTTTCTCATTCACGTGCACACATTCAAGTACTCAACAGAACTTTATTGCATTTCATACCATTAATATCGTGACTGAATCACAGGGATTGAGTCTGTTACAGATCTTCCTGGAGGATAGTAATAAGTTCTATCTAAGGGTGATCGAGAACGTGACCTCTCTTTAAAAGATCCAACATTTTTCCTGAAATATTTGTTGCACATGGGTGGTGAACTGCGCTCATGACGACTTGAGCTCTTACTCCTGTGATGTGCGCTTCTGTGATGTCTTTGACCATCTCTATCTGAGTACCGATCAGGTGATCGATGACGGTTGTAATAATATGTATCATAAGCATCCCGTGCAGGAGTATATTGTCTACTGGAGTAATAAGAAGAATAAGGAGACGGAGAGCGGCCATGGCCCACAGCTTCATAATGTGAATAACCAGACACACTGTATGATTTATCATAAACTTGAAGAGCTTCTTCATGAGTCATTGATCTGTCGTAGGAGGGTTTACTATAGTAAGAATCTACAGATCCCTCATAACTTGAGGAGGGACGGTAATTGCCAACCGAGTTGTATCGAGTAGCTGAGGAGTAGTTGGTTGGTGGAGCCTGCATAGCCCAGTCTCTATCAGAATCGGACTTATGGGCACCAAGTCGCTGCCCGGCATCAGTGGCCTGCAAAGAAACATCGACCCCACCATCAGCGAGGCCAATACTCAACATTTTTCTTGCTCACAGTAATAATATATGTTCTTTGGCAACAAAACCATACCAAGCCAAGTACCATTCAATAGCATCCAGCGCGCACACACACAGAGGGGATAAAGTAGAAGACTCACAGCTCGCCTCACTCAAGGTTCCACTTGTACTTGAATCACCCATAACTCCACTTCGACTAGGTCATTCATACACAAACATACGTACGCACAAACATACACAAATGCACACTTTGCTTCTCACATGCAGTATTCACACGGTCAGACAACTTCCACATTCACACAAAGAAGTGACGCTATACATTTTTAATTGAGAACTAGTTGTATGAGTGAGAAAAATAGGTTAGAATATTTATGAAAACAACAGTTACTAAAAGAATTTATGTTTCACACACATGGAATTAGATCTACCCATTAAACAAACTTAATTCATGTTCTCAGGCCACTTAACATTCAATATACCTAGTGACTTCATGTCTTCGAAAACATGTATTACCCAATAAACTGAAAAAGCAACAAAACAACGATGACTTTGGGTGATGTTCTAAGATGTTATTTTCACTAATAAAAATGGAACAAATCTCAAAAAAATATTTGTGTGTTTGTATCTTGATTCACTTTCTGGTTATATGATAACCACTGACATAACTAGACAAGTCTTCTATTATGCTGTATTCACATTCGTTTCAATCAATATAAATATATTGACAATAATAGATACACTTCACACAGTCGACATTAATGCTCATACAAATCATACCATCTCACTCAGTGACACAAAAATAATTTCACTTAGATAACAATCTAATTTGTATTTTAACAGCTGACAGCATCAGTTCTCTCACAACTCATTCATCCACACACATCAGATACACACGACACACCACAACAGAAACAAGGGGGAAAAGCAGGAAATATGGATATGAAATCCGTTCTCAAGTCCCACCCAAATTAAGAAATCTTTCACCAATCCTATTTCAACTTTGTTCTAGACACTTGTTAAAATAAGTTATTGTTATTAGAAAAAGTTTTTCCTGCTCATCTAAGCATTAGATGGAAAAAAACATACATACACTCACACCACGCCAGCTTCACACAACCATCACCCAGTCAACCATTTTTATTCCCTTGATGACAGGGACAATTTCCTGCTAATTTTCAAGATAGATGTCTTTACTTGTGGAGTTAAAAAAATAATTAATAATAAAAACAGTGCCCTAAAATAATCCCACACAACATTCACACTCAAAGCAAAGGGTCAATCAACAGGCGAATATGAACACTCATATATATTTACATGCAATGCACTCACACACCAGCACTCAAATAGTAAGCCATTTACTATGAGGTATTAAACAACTAAATAGGTAGCATCTGGAGTGCCAGATGCAACTGCTTATGAGGATATTTTAGAATATATGAATATTCTGGGGGAGGTCAAAACACTTAACATTTACAATAAATTATGCTAAAACAATTGTAGACGAAAATTTATCAAGTTTTTAAAGTTGGATGGATTGTTTGGCTTTATTGGGATCAAACCTCTGGCTACTCACATTTGAGAGCTGAACAAAAGAATCAGCACAAAGGAAGAATCAAAACATCAACATGCTGAGATCCACCACCCATTTAGAACATACTAATAATTGATGCAGATTTCTATAATACAAAACAACTAGGTATTCTTATGGAGAGGCACATTGTCAAGTAGTATGACAATTATTATCAGACTAAGAAATGAAGTAAAAATTTTAAGTACTATAACTGCCATACTTTAGATCAAGAGGGTAAATTTGGGTTTGTCAAATGACAGATTGCTTGTTTTTATAAGTATTTTGAATTCAACATACCTTAGAGTTGGGAACTTTCACATCACACCATCTTCCATCAATCATGTGTCTCTGCGCAAGTACTCTGATTTGAGCCTCGTAACTTCCAAACCGAATGAAACCAAATCCCTTCGACTGTCCTGTCTTGGGATCTTTCTTGACCTGAAAACAGCGATTAGATTAAAATAACACATTCGACATTCGCAAATATACAAGAGTAGAGTACACAGCAGCAAATTACACTTATCTACCTGTGCCATTAGGACTTCTCCGAATGATTCAAAGTACTCCCGTAGCTGTTGCTCAGAAGTTTTCCATGGTAGACCCAAAACAATTAAATCTGAACATTTCATTTTAGTTTCCATTCTCTTAGTCTTTGGTGTAGAATTTTCCAAGTGATCATCTGACTTTCTTTTGTTCTCTGTTGGACAAGGTAAAATCAAGATTAAGTAAATAAATTTCACATCCCAACTTGACAGCGAGAGAGGCAAAGCATAATAATTAATACAGTAAAAAAATGTTTATTAAATAGTTAATTGGGTGGAAATAAAAAAAAATTATAGAAAAATCAGCAGCTTTACAGATTTATAAAAGAAATTAAGAATACAAATTAATTGATCTTGAAGTAGCCTAAGAAAGGGGAGAGGTTACTAGTGTGATATATTGAGGATAATTAAATGAGTAACTGCAGAAAGAGCTGGCTAATACATAATATAGTTTAACGGGATTACTCCAGATTGGGAGGAAAAGAAATAATTAAATGTCAAGCGAATGATCAAATTATTTTAATAGGCCTAACCCTGCAGCCGCCATTACAAGAGAATTGCCACAAGAAACTAGGAGTCAGGATCAGTTCGAGTAAAAGATTCCGCCGGACTTACCCTTCGGAAAGACGCAGAAGTAAATATTACTCCCCCAGTTGCCATCAGGAGCATGTAACCGGCCATCTACAAGACGAACTCCTCTCATACGAGACTCCGGATTGCGGTATTTCAATCCACAAGTCCCTGGGAACTGGGCCGCCAATGTCGTGAGAAGAAGAGTGCCATCTTCTTCAGTGGGCAACTCTATGGGTTCTTCATTTTCATCTTCAGCCACTTGCAAATATGAACTCATGTTTTGATTATTTCGTCCCCTATCACCACTTTATTTACACTTATTTTCTTTCCAACTCCAGAGAAAGATGGAGACCCCGCACAAACAACGAAGCCTCCTTGGGGACGGAAAAGGAAATGGCGTCTCATACGGAATCATGGGTATCGATTTTTTCTTTTTGTTGTTCATTCGTAGGTGCGTTCGAATAAGTCATGTAATCTGTCACAATCTTTGTGGTCAGAGTAATTTAGGAAAGATGGAAAGATTTTGCTCAACAAAAAGTCAGCAACCCTCCTTTTTGCATGTGAATAGGCAGTTCTGAGTACTGGTTAACATTGCTTTGCGGGGGTCACTGAAGCACTGAAGAGATAGTGAAGGCCGGAGGAAGGGAAGGGAAGGGAAGCGGTTTGCAAGCGCGCCAACGAGATGAAAGTTCAAAGGGGTAGTGTAAGCCGTCTACTTCCCTTGAGTACTTCCGCCTTGACTTCCGCCGTGTGTGCGCGTGCTACCTCAATAATCGAAACTATTTTCGTCCTGCCAATGTAAAATTATGGAAGCATACTAGCTTCAACTAGATTTATGGATCCGTGATTCTCAACGAGTGCCAAAAAGAAGTTGTATGGGCGGCTGCGAAGCGCGAGGGCGGGGAATACCATTCTCGATCGTTTTCTTATCTCTGCCAATCAGTGAAAGCACTACCCCAGATCCCATTTTGTCAAAATGTCAAAATATGAAGTCCAAACCAAAATCGAGGGCGGTACCTTACTGCCTCCAATCAGTGTGTACGCTCCTTCTCCAATCACAGTCTAATCACACACTTTCTGGACAAAATGGACAATCCCCCCCCCCACCCCCTAAACTCTACAAAAAACAAACTTTTCCTCAGAAATTCAGACAATTTGTTCCCATCACCAAAGGGACCTCAAGCAGTGTGCGCTCATTTTAGAAGTGAGGTACCCCTCGACCAAAATATTATGTTGTCTGTCAGCTGCTTGCTATCCTTATGATGATAATTAATAATCATCATAATGATATGGCACACTTGATTATTGAATAGGAAAAGGAGACACTTACAATGGTTAAAAATCAATCCTTTTTTTTTTTTTTTTAAATTGTCCCATGAAATTAAAACATATAAAACATACAGTAACAAAACATTTTGGTTTTAAAAGGTGCGTCAAAAATAGATTGACATCATTAGTTAAAGTGTGAGCTGAGCTACATTTCTATTATCATTCTTTAAAAACAGACAATATTCTTTTGATATTTTAATACTATCTTACTTATGTGATAACCTTAATTAAACCTTTGATAGAATGTGATATAATAAAATCTCTGATAATAAAGATGTGATGGTGATGTTTTCAGATAAAACATTATTCACTGCTGTTTGTGGAAGAAAGGTAGCACATTAATCTTATTCTGTCAGCCAGCCATGTTCCCAGTGAGAAACAGTTACATCGAAATGATGTCAGACCGATATCGTTGTCGGTAAATTGTCGATTATCGTGTCGAATCGATCCTGAGATGGTCTTCAAATCGAGACATTTCCGATAACTGACATCTATTTGATGTCGATTCGATGTCACATCGATTTTGATTTCTCACTGGGTTCAACAGAAAACATGGTATTGGAAAGACTCTCAATTAGGCCTTTGCTTCATATTTAACAATTTCATCGGTAACTCTTTCTATGACACTGTAGATATAGGGGCGTTCCATTGGATTCACACGAAGCATGAATAAAATAAGATCATGCATATCCTGTTTAAAAAGAAAACTTAACATAAGTCAAAAGATGGGTAAATTCATCTAAAGAAGTGATTCTAGAACATACCTCAGAAAAAGGGCTATTGTCAGGGAAATTTATAGTTCCACTTATGACAGCCAGAGCGACACTGTCACCTCTTTCGTAGACTGCATCAAAAGGTGATTTAAAGAAACACATTGCATACAGCAAGCATCCAAGAGACTGTAAAGAGAAAGCAAAATAACAAATTCATAGTGCGCCACAAACACGTCTAAAATAATTGTTTTATATTCATCAACAAAGTAAATGTGTACCCAAATATCAGTTCGCTCATCAATAACACAATAGGATTCAACATTCCACAATTCTGGTGCACGATAAGGCATGGAACAACGCTCTGCAGCTACATCCTGGAGTTTCTGAGCTTCTGATGAGCCTGTGATCTTGACTCTGGCACGTGCAACTGAACCTGAGGAATGGTTAAATTTATCAGATGAGAGGTAAAATGAATTATCTCAAAATAATAACTTACCTAGATCCATGATAATAGGACTATTGTTGTTAGCCAAAAGAATGTTTGCAGTTTTCAAGTCACGATGCGCCAGAGGCTCTGGTTTAGCTTCATGAAACACTTTAATCCCTTCACATATTTGTAAGAACATTGATAAAATGTCAATAGGGTCCATATAACTTTGAGAAGCTGACCTTCTCTCTAACTCATGTAATAGGGTACCTCGCTAAAGGAATTTTTAAAATGAAAGTTCAAATAGTGTGAGTGTACAGTACTTAAAATAATGCCAAGAAAAAGAAGTAACTTACGGGATAATAAGGTAGAACCAAAAGAACCATACTAGTTGAATTTAATACTGGATCAGCATGGCCAGTCAATGAGGAATCTATACACCTCAATATATTCTTGTGCTGAAGAACATCATGATATTCTGCTTCACGAAGAGCTATTTTCTCATCTTCCATACCATGACAAATAATCTTTTTGATAGCAACTTTTTTTTTAGAACCAACTTCTTCACCTAAGTACACTGTACTAAAGCCACTGAAAGAAAACAGAAAGGTTGAGAGAATGGTTAATCAGATTATCGCCACATTCTCTTCAGTGCATCTTGCTTTTACAGTTATATGTTTAGAAATACAGGTTAAGAAGTCCTGTGCCTAGAGACGTACCCCTCTCCAAGCTGGTCTCGAAGGTAATATTTCTTAGAATTAACTATGACTGATTCTTTGGAGCACAGACATCCCATTTTGAGTATTATACTCAGTCCTAGACTGTTCATGATGGTTGGAAAGACACTTATGTTCTGATTCTCACATGACAGCTGGTTAACGCCAAAAAAAGTATATGTATACAACACTCAACGATAGGAATACAACGTCGTCTGCCTCGGTTGTGGTGCGTTCAGCAGATCATCACATTATTGGCACTCATGTTACTTTGAACATGGCCCTCCTTCGGAAGATCTTGCGTTCCTCTATTTTTTGTGAAAGTACGTACATACTTTTAACTTTAACTTCTATACTCTATGTTTTTTATCATGATTGATTCATTTCTACGCGAAAAACACTTGTCAGTTCTATCTTTCGATGTCATGCTTAGGGTGAACTTATTGAATCGTAATAGAAAACCTAACCTAACGCTTACTTGTGTTATTTAAATTGAAACTTCTTTAAAGCGACCCACCTATTATTTTTTATGTGAAGGTTTTTTTTTTTTGTTCTTCTTGTTTTCCAAAGGATTCAATTTAAGAGTTTTAATTGATATTATATAAGTTAACCCCTATGCCTTTGGGTCAATGAGAATGAGGTTCTCTTTCCAAACTGCATTGTTTTTTCTCGTTGGACATTAAACTTACATTATTTTATTTTTTGTCCGTACCTGTAGGATCGTTGGCCTTGGCATCACCAAGATGCATATCTAATCTTTCGTCTAGCTTGAGGCCATCTGCAACCCAGTTCAACAACATTCAAGATGTAACACAAAATGTCTTCACAAGCCTATCTAACAGTCCATCTACAACCTACAGTGAAGAAAAACCACTAAGTAATTCTTTACTCCAAAGAATTGACGTTGCTATTTTACCAATGTCTCCAGCTGAACAGCTTATTAAGCTTCGGCTCCCAACACTGATTAAACAAGTAAGCCTTGAAATGCCAACAACTAGAGCTTCCCTAGACAATGCTCACATCAATCAGGTTGTTGTTGAAATTAAGGCACCTCAGAGAGGTAAAGTCTTAAAACAATTGGCTATTCGAATGCTTGTAATTAGACGGAGGAAAATTAAGAAGCATCAGAGGAAGAAGTGGCTTAAAAAGTTTCGTGTATACCGTATGACTTTATTCCAGAAACGAAAGATTAAGAAGGAAACTATTTTCCTAGCTGCTCTTGAAGAGCAAATGAAAACAGCTGAGGCTTTCAATGCTGAAGATTATGCTTCAGAAAAAATAAGGAAAGCCTACAAACCTTTGCCAACCAAAGAAGCTTATAAATTTCCTCTTCCCTGGGAGTTTCAACCCTTATTCTATAATTCTCTAAAGAAAAATGGCAAGTGAGTTTCAAATTCACTTCAGAAGTCACTGTTTTCATTTGCTTAGTGTAAGTCGTTTTTTGCAATGATCTTGACACGTAAGCGGAACTGCCCGTTTAAAAAATGGTTATCAAAGCTGTGCTTACAATTTAATTCTTCCTTTTGTTTCAAAAAAACAACTATATGTTGTCAAGATCCTTGCTAAGACTATGGAAAAGGAACAAGGATTTTGGTGTAGAGTATTTCTCAGAGGAGTGTAGGAAAAAGAATTACTTCTGTATCTATTGTTTGTGAAAAGCATTTATTTATAAAAATAAACACTTGATGGCTACCCAAACAAAAATCCATTCCATTATTTATTTTGAAAAAACTCAACTATGAAAATATTGCTTGTTTGTGCACTTTGGTACACACAATCACAGCTATGGAAAAGGAACAAGGATTTTGGTGTAGAGTATTTCTCAGAGGAGTGTAGGAAAAAGAATTACTTCTGTATCTATTGTTTGTGAAAAGCATTTATTTATAAAAATAAACACTTGATGGCTACCCAAACAAAAATCCATTCAATTATTTATTTTGAAAAAACTCAACTATGAAAATATTGCTTGTTTGTGCACTTTGGTACACACAATCACAGCTATGCACATCACATAAATCTTGTCTAACTTAATATTAGTTCAATATCTTCGGTTCTTACGAAAGAAACCTCAAGCTGCTGCAATTTTCCTATTAAAATAAGAATACATTCTCAGAGTTTATGAAATGTTTGTCTGAAGCATACTTAAATGGCAAGAATCTAGAAAAAGATCTTGCTTTTTTTGTAGTGCTGAGAGTAAAATATGAATACTGTCTCTTCGTCAAAGCCACTCAGCATCAGTCAACAAAAGTCAGTCAAATAAACACTTATTTACAATTCTTACATCTACAAATGATGCTAAAACGGACACTCCGCCCTGGTTTTCCTTGCTTGATCATTAAACTTATGAGACAAGCAGTTATGCCAAGAAAAGATTAAAATATAATGAGATCAGAGTACTGCACAGGTGTCCATAATTCTTACGCATCAAAGGATAGCAAATGTGCAAAAGAGTACATTGTGAAATGACAGAGTACTTCCTAATTAAATAAATTAAGGTAGAGCTTGGCCCTTAGGTGGTACTAAAATTTTCTGCTGGGCTGAACTACTTATGACGGGCGTTTTTTTGGCGTGTTTGCCTAGCGAATCAGATCTTCCCGAGAAGTAATCCTCAATCTCTTGTAAAGACCGCCCCTTCGTCTCAGGCAGGAACAGCCAGAAGAAGGCAGTACCAAAAATAGAGATGAAACCGTACATCAAGAATGTGCCCGAGTGCCCCATCAGGCTCTCCATGAGAGGGAAGCTCTTCACCACGAGGAAAACGAACATGTGCGCCGCGCACGTTGTCAGCCCTCCGATCAGACCGCGCACGTTCGACGGGTACACTTCGCCTATCATGACCCAAGGCACGATGAGGAATCCCGTTGTGCAGAAAGCAGTGTAAAGGAAGATGCAGGCCACCGGGAACCAGGTGGCCGTCCGTGTGATGTCGCCACCCTCACTCCACACTTCCCATGCGAGCATGTACCCTCCCAGGCCCACCATGCACACGCCGCATCCTATGGCTGGAACACGAGAATACAATGTTAAAGCCTCTCCTCTGTATTCAAGACGAGCTGCTCCGCGCGCTTCGCCCCGTACTCTTGAGTACATTTTGGTACTCACAAGAGGTGAGGGTGAGCGGGCGACGGCCACAGCGCCGGAGAGCCACGCAGCCGGCCACGGTGAACAACAGCCTGACGACGCCCAGCAGAATGGTGGCCAGGTACTTGTCCATGGACGCGCCCGACTCGGTGAACACGTGAACTGCATAGAACGTGATGGTGTTGACACCGGAGAACTGGTAGATGCCAAAGTAGGCCACCAGAATGAGGAACGGTTTGGCTGCGGCGGGCTTGACTAGCTCCTTGAACGTGTCCCTCCAACCGAGTTTGGCCTGCAGAGGATGACAGACGGGCGTGAGTGCGACTCAAATGAAATAAATGACCTGGTGGCGGCAGGGACCCCTCGGCTTACCAAGTTGTTCCTCTCCGCGAATGCGCGCATGTCGTCGAGTTCCCTCTGCACGTCGCAATTTGCGCCGCGCACTCTGAAGAGCGAGTCGCTCGCCTCCTGGTGGCGGCCCCTGCTCACCAGCCACGCCGGGGACTCGGGGGCGAGCAGGGTGAGCAGCAGGGCGAGCGACGGCACGATGGAGGACAGGCCGGCCAGCAAGCGCCACGATACGCACGACCCCACCGAGTACTCGAGCAGCACCCCGAGAGACACTCCGACCTGTGGAACAAAAGCGCGTCAGTAAAGCAGACCATAATGGCCACTCCCCAGGGCCTCTGGGGGCGCTACTCACCGAGGCGAGGGCGGACAGAGTGCCGCGCAGGTGCGGCTGCGTCACCTCCCCCGTGTACACCCGGGCGGGCGCGCCCACCATGCCGGAGCCGAGCCCGACGAGCAGTCGGCCCGCGTAAATCTGGTACAGGCCGGAGACGGGCGCGGCCGTGGCGATGAGCAGCCAGCCCAGCAAGAGGGGGATCTCGGTGAGCAGCAGCGCGCGCTTGCGCCCTATGGCGTCCATCAGCCACCCGGACAGGATGCAGCCCACCGGGGTGGACGCGGACGACAAGCTGGCTGCGGGGCAGAGAAGGGAGAGGTGAGTCGTGGCGAGCACGAGGCACTGCGGCACCGCGGCAGCGATAACAATCACGGCCAAGCTGCTCACCAATCCAGGAGGCCTGGTTCTCATCGATGGTGATGTCGGAGGTCGGGCTGACGAGCTGCGGGATGACGACGGCCGAAAAGCCGAAGGCCATGCCCGTGTTGATGGTGCCGAGGTTGGCGATGAACGACATGAGCACCTGGCGGAGCGAGCTGCCGCGGCGGGGCCGCGCTTCGGGCAGCAGGTGCGCCGAGCCGAGGTTCTCCGCCCGGGAGCCGCTGCGCGAGGTCTTGAGCGGCACCACGAGGGGCACCGCCAGCGGCGCGTCGCCCACCAGCGCCTTGAGCGACTCGACGTCCACCATGGAGCCGGTCACGCTGCGGGCAGAGAGAGAGACAGGTGATCGGTCAGATACAACATACTGGTCTAGAGTGCAGGAGGGAAGTACCAAAGCGCACGTGGCCACAGTGTGGCCACGCCTAAAGATAATGTTGTGTAACATTTATTTTTAATTTTTCATTAAAACGTCTGATTGCCTGATAGCGCAGTTTAAAGGCCACTCCAGAAAAGCCAGTTCTTGAATCGAGTATTTAAGGACAAATCTAATTTGCTTAGGGAAAAGACAAATTTCTTGGTACCGAACGCATTCGTATGGAGGGATATTAAAACTAGTTTGATTTGAGATAGTGTTTCTGTGTTTATAAGGTCGTAAGTCCGCAGGCGCGGTTTTCAGCAGTCGCCCCCTCCTCCTATAGGGGACTGTCAAGCTGTCAGCCCTAGAAGGTCACCTGTGAGGTAGGCAATTCTCTGCGCAAAACCCGTGTTTATAGGCAACCCACAGCACATCGCCCTACCCGTCAGCCCGCACTCCGCGCGAGCACGAGCGGGGGCGCAACGCAGGCCAACCCGACCTTTGACCCTTCGGGCGCACCGCACTCCGCACTCTCAATATACCAAACAGGGAGCGCGACGTGCAAAACTCTTGCAGCGCGGGAGTCGTTACTTAGTCTCGGATCAATGCAGCGCGTCACAGTGGCCTACGGAGGAGGGGCGGTAGGGAGCGGGACGACCCAAACACTGCGTTAGGAACAGTTTCTCACCGGAGTCTTCGCCTCACGACCCCAGTCCCCAGGGGCTGCGTCGGCGAAAAATAGAAAGACCATGGGTCAGAAAATCCAAGGGGGGGGGGGGGGTAGGTTTGGTAGGTCGGAGCGGCACCAAGGCGCAGCCAGCTCAGCCGGAGCCTACCCACGCAACCCACCCGCAGAGTCTCCAGGCTCTGGTGCGGGCCTCGGGCCTCTGGCTGCGGGTGGGAGCTCACACCCGCAGAACCCGACTTTAGACGCCGTAAAGCAAACTACTGGTGTGCTCCAAATAATGTGACGCCGGTCTGCCAGTGTCCAGATGTCCAGCGGCAGTGCGGCGCATGCTGGAGGAACCTAAGGGGGCGGCTCCCGCACGGCACGGCAAGGCGCGCGGCGGTGAAGCGCCTGTCGGGTCCAGGGTGGGCCGCCCGCCCAACACGCGCGCCCGGCGGGCCGGCCTCCCCGCTAGAGCCGCGGGCGCCCGGCCGCCCCGACAAACACACCGGAGAACACACCGCCCCGCCCCGCCCGCCTTGGCCAGGTAAAGGTTCGCCGTGACGTCGTGTCCCGCCCGGCTGTTGACACGGGCCGGAGAGGTCAGAGGTCAGGGCGGTCAGGAGCCCAGCGGAGGAGGCTGCAGCCAGCCCACCTGTGACGGGTGGCTGCTTCTCTTGTTCCCGCGACGCCGCCAGCTAGGCGCCCTCCTCCTCCTCCCCACCGCGCCAGCCCCCCTCCAC